CTGTTCTCATGTTTCGTAGAGAACAATGAGAGACGAGCAAAGCACCATTGTAGAATATACAGGATGATAAGAAAATAGGACAAAATCTCATACCTCTCAGTAAATAATCAAAAATGGTGACTAAAACCATGGCCCACTCGATTCAGTATATTCAGAAACGGCTTTCTCGAAGACGTTTTCGAAAATTCGCCTTTGATTGAAATACAGGATGAAAATTCTCAATTCAAACTTGTTTCCTGATATCGATGATTCTTATCAACTGATTTCCAATATTTATTGCCCAAGTATATGAGACACAGAGTATTGTTGTTCAATATACTGAGTGTTTCACAACTTATCTGACAAATTTCAACCACAACTACGATATTACATAAGAAGTCTATCACATAAAAATTCCATAGAAGTAAAACGAGATGGAAAATAAAATTTATAACATCTTTATATCCACTAAAACTATTCGAGATGACGAAATATGACATAAGTGAATTCTTCAGCATTATGAAGATCCAACTAGAAAGTCCTATATCCTGAATTTCAGTATTTGGTAGGGCCTCCCTGATTTAACAAAACCTCATGAAATCGGTTTGGCATATAGATTCTCTCAGGTTGTTGATGTCGTTGATGATACAGCTTGTTAATCTATGGCTTGGATAAGGTTGTCATTATTTTGGGGTGCCTCTCGCCTTCTCGATAGGTTAAGTTTCATTCGGCTCCACACATGTTCAATCAAATTCAGCTCTGGAGATAATGCTGGTCACCACATTCTTCTAACATTATTGTTTTGTAGAGTTCGTAATTTGTCAGATGTATTGTGAAACACTCAGTATATTGAACGACAATACTCTGTGTCTCATACTTGGGCAATGAATATTGAAAATCAGTTGATAAGAATCATCGATATCAGAAAACAAGTTTGAATTGAAAATATACATCCTGTATTTCAATTAAAGGCGAATTTTCGAAAACGTCTCGAGTTAATAGTCTAATATAAATAATGAATATCGAGAAAGCCATTTCTGAATATACTGAATCGAATGGGCCATGGTTTTAGTCACCATTTTTTTTTTACTGAAATGAGATTTTGTCCTATTTTATTATCATCCTGTATATTCTACGATGGTGCTTTTTTCGTCTTTCATTGTCCTCCACAAAACATGAGAACAGTTCTTCTCAATAGTCAGCTCAAGTGGAGTTCTAGAGAGGAAAATCAAGAAATGCAAGACTTTTGAAAAAAAAATGGCCAATTAAGAAGGAATCACGAAAACGTCCCGAGATGAGGTCCCAGTGTAAATATGACTGACTTTTGATCAGACAAAAATTCCTCGAGTTCTGGTAGCATTGGAAATTTATATAGACCATAGTGTAATGGTTCCACTTTACACCCAGTGTATGTTTTGTTCTGCGGACTTTTTCAGAGTGTTCTAGCTCTCTTTGAAGTCGATGAAACATCACATCTGATATCGAAAACCGCATGAACGTCGGTCAATTTTTTCAAAAAATACAGGTCTTCGAAATAGAGTCAAATTATGATGAGTGGTCCATTTAGTGTGTTGAGAACTGTAGTTGATGAATTTATGGATGAAAAATGGAAAACTGCCATTTGCATGGAGACGACAAATTATTTTTTTTCGTGCCACCTTCATTATTGCTCTCGATTTGACTCAAGTTAATAGGTAAAAAGGAAGTATGCGGGATCACCAAATACATTCAGTATCACTTATTTTCTCCAGCACTTCCCAAATATGTGAATGAAATTTTAGAATATTGACATACAGAGTGTGACTCGAAATCTACTTAGTAATTTTTTCAAGGCCGGCCCTGGAATGAGAATATTTTCAATTACATCAATCGTCACCACTGTGGACAACGAACATACAAACCGATTATAAAAAATATTATATGGTGATTCATAAGTTATGATTAATTGAAAAAAGAGTGGAAATCAATAAATCACCTTGTATCTTCGTCATAAAGAATGATAGACCCATTAAATAAAGATTATTCGGAAACACTACGGTGTCCTCCATCAACCCTCACTGTATGCACTTATTTCAAAAACACCTGGAATCTGAATCCCAATGGTACGGTGATGGCCTATGGTAGGGATATACAGGGTAACTCACGGTCGATAGTACGTTAGACGTTTATGGAGAACGAAACGCAGGATTTTCCTGAAAATTCCGCATCTTACATTTTATCACCTGTTCTATCGATCTGAAATATTTTCGAAATTGCGACGTTGCCGTTTCTATCAAAAAGTCCTAGCAACTTCATTTTTTAAAATAGAACACCCCGTATATTAACAAATTTTTGAAATTGCCTTCTCATTACAATAATCTTTTGTTATCAAATCCTTATAGCTATCTCTATCGGTTTTTGAGATAAAAAATAATCTGTGTTAAATATGATCCAAAGAATATCCCTAATTGAACTTATATAAATCAGGGCTCTCAAATCATAAAGAGTTTATATTTCAGTAGTGATTTGGACAGGCTTGATGTATTCAATTTACACCGAGAAGTCGCCTCCATATCATACAAGGCGTGCTGAAATTATTATTATATCAGTTGTTCATACAAGTGGTCAAAAGTTCATTTTTCAAATGGAACCCACTGTTTCTCACTCAATGAATTGAAAGACGAATAAAAATGCTACAAGATGACATATAGCATGTCCCTATACCTAAATCATCAAGTATTCTTAATAAAGCCGCTTTTTGTGAAAAATATAATTTTATGAAAAAGTTAATTTTAGATATAGCCATGGAAATATCAAACTCATGACAGTTCGGTGACATTAATGAGTAATTCAGTAATTGTTATTGACAGTGTTTCAAAAAATCTCCCAGAATGTACGTGAATGTCGATTATTCATACAAAGTTCTTATGATAAGTTATTTATTATACACGGACATAATGTGATCAAATCATTGCCTGGACTTGCAGAAAATTCAACCAAATGTATCCTGAATTGACACCAATGAACAAGAGGAAGTTTGTGAGATTATAAAATAATTTCATCAACTATGGCTCAAAGTTTCCAACAACTCTATAAAAAATCAGCTTATCTAGCATATCTAGGTAAAAAACTAGATTCACTGTGAAAGTACAGAAAATAACAGAATTAGGAGGAACGAAAGTCACAAAAGTATTAACAAAATATCACATTTTCACAATAAATGCTCGAAATGATGTCCATTACATTCTAAACATTTCAAAATATGCTTTTGTACTCGACTCGTGGTTGCCTTTTGAATTTCATGAGGATCCAAATCTTCAATACACCGCACTATTCGCCGTCGCAGTTCTTCTTTGGTAGGCAACGGAGTACTGTACACCCCATAAAAAAAAGTCAAGCAGCGTGAGATCAGGTGACCTCGGTGGCCAGTCCCACGGACCTAAACGGCCAAACTAACGATCCTCAAACATTTCGTAAAGTTTCCTGGAAAGTTCCTCCTGAGTTGAATGAGCTGGCGCCCCTAAAGGAAAATTTTCGAGGAAATCTGTCACAGTCGTCCTCAATATTTGAATATATCTCTCAGCATTCAGTGTGCCATCGTGAAAGAAAAAGCTGATTTCATTATTTTTTTAAATACAGAAAACATTTAGGTCAAATTTTACTTGAAAACCCATTTCTTCTGTTATATGAGGATTATGATCATTCCAAAAATGTTTATTTCTTCTATTGAAAATCCCTTCCCTCGTGGATTTTAATTCGTCGCTCCAAATTATTTTCCAAAAAAATTCCGGATACTCCTGGGTATGCATTAAAAGGGCTTCGCAAAATTGCACTCTTCGCTCGGAGTCTTCTGCATTGAGTGCTTGAACTTTACTGAATTTATACGGATTCATTTTGTGATTTCCCAAAATTATTTGTACTGAAGCATGTGATACACCCAAATCTTTATCTGCACTAAGAATGGATGCTCCTGGATATGCATGAAAATATGCCAAAACGTCAACAATATTGTCTTCATTCGAAGTAACAGGTTTTGGTAATGTTGGAGGCGCTTTAAACTTTGAGCCATAGTTGATGAAATCTTTTTGTAATTTCACAAACTTCCTCTTGTTCATTGGTGTCAATTCAGGATACATTTGGTTGAATTTTCTGCATGTTCTGGCAATGATTTGATCACATTGTCCGTGTATAATAAATAACTTCATAAGCACTTCGATTGAATTATCGATATTCGCTTTCCTTCTGGGAGATTCTTTGAAACACTGTCAATAACAATTACTGAATTCCTCATTAATGTCACCGAACTGTCATGAGTTTGATATTTCCATGGCTATCTAAAATTAACTTTTTCATAAAATTATATTTTTCACAAAAAGCGGCTTTATTAAGAAAACATGATGATTTAGGTATAGGGACATGCTATGTCATCTTTTAGCATTTTATTCGTCTTTCAATTTATTGAGTAAAAAACAGTGGGTTCTATTTGAAAAAATGAACTTTTGACCAGTTGTATGAACAACGGATATAATAAGAATTCCAGCACGCCCTGTATGATATGGAGGCGACTTCTTGGTATAAATTGAATCAAGCCTGTCCAAACCACTACTGAAATATCAACTCTTTATGATTCGAGAGCCCTGATTTACATAAGTTTAATCAGAGATATGTTTTGGATCATATTTATCACAAATTATTTTTTATCTCGAAAACCGATAGAGATAGGTAAAGGAATTTATCAACAAAAAAGTATTGTGATAAAAAGGCAATACTAAAAATTTTTTAATATACGGAGTGTTCCATTTAAAAACATGAAGTTGTTAGGACTTTTTGATAGAAACGGCAAAGTCGCAATTTCGAAAATAATTCAGATCGATAGAACAGGTGATAAAATGTAAGATGCGGAATTCTCAGAAAAATCCTGCGTTTCGTTCTCCATAAACGTCTTAACCAGGGCCTGGCCCTGGTCTAACGTACCATCGACCGTGAGTAACCCTGTATATTGTATCAAGATTGGAAGGCGAAAACAGAATGTCCTTATGGATATCATTTACACATTTTATTCATTATTGATAAATACTACATACTCTACTTAATATTAATATTGAGCATCCGTTAATATACAAGAAGTAGTCTAAGCGTTCAAGTAGCAGAAAATAATTTTCATAGATAATATACTAACTACTGCGAACGGAAGGATTTTTTCTGCTAGTCAAACCACTTAGACAGTTTTAGGATACGCAACACACATTTTAAGACTACATAAATAAAGAGCCCGCGTATTACATGTAATGGCTTTTTCAAAATTAAGTAAACGACACTCCAAGTATTTCTAATTACAAAAGTGTAAAAATTTTCATCAGTCATTAAGTTCATTATAAATAACATCTATGTAAACTAGTCAAAAGCTGAATAGTGAATATGTGGCCTAAATTCAACATGCTGAACCTTCATGTGATATTAATTAAATTAATGTCATTATACTACCCATATCAGAGGAACGTCATAATCTTTTGCAATAATTTTTCATGAAAATAAGTTACCTACTACCAGGTCTATTGAGAATCCACATAAAAAAAGATTTTTCAGAGGGTTCGTATTTCCATAGGCCAATACAATATTCAGTTTTGATTCGTTTGGTTGAGTATACATTCGAGTAGATCACTGGGAGAATTGCGTTTCTGTTGCATCACTTTCTTACGAAAAAATTGAGAGGCGAACCAACTTTGAAAATTTTCACACCCAATTCCACTTCCAGGAGTAGGTATTCTTCAATCAATTTTATTCATACTCAAAACAATTTTTTTTAGTTTCATAAATACTCTGGACTGGAATTTAAAAAAACCTCACACATCAAACTTTCAAAGATGTTCACCCCTCAGTGAATGTCAACTGAAATTCTTGTAAAAGGCACACTACATAAAGTAAGTGTTCATTTTGGCACCCTAGAATGCTGTTCTTTTTTCAATGTTCGAGACTATTGTTCAATTTTCATAAAATTGTCTGTATCACTTGCACATTGTCTCACTATATATTTTACAAATTCGTTCATCTTCTTCTCCTAGATGCTGCAGCTATCATCTGCCTCAGCATTGGCTCAGGACTACACTGTTTGGGATCACATTCCATCTGTCCATCTGAACCACACCTGAAAAAAATATTTTTATTGAATTTAATAATAATTCATAATAGGAAGACGCTGAACGGACATAGCAAAAAATATATATCATTTTTCGTCGTTTAAATATAATTGCAAGATTTTTCTGGCATTTGAGCTGATTGCAAAATTTATAATAATAATAATAATAATAATAATAATAATAATAATAATAATAATAAATGGCCTTTATTTAACTTGGCGGAGTTTAGCAGAGCTATTCTTCCACTCAACCAAGGTTTTTGTACAAAGTTGGTATACAATTTAGATATGGTGATTTATAGGTACATAAACAAGATGATAATAACTCTAAATTCTATGTATATTTGTCCTATAAAATTGAGGCTTATTTGACAGATTTTTCTTGCATTTAAGCTAATTGCAAGTTTAATCTTGCAATTGAGGCTTGACAGATTTATATTGCATTCAAATTAACTGACAGATTCATTTTGCAATTAGTGTTGAATTGACAGATTTTACATGCATTAATGCTATTTGACAGATTTATTTGGCATTTCCCGTAATTGAAAGATTTATCTTGCAATTGAGGCTTAATTGACAGATTTATCTAGCATTTCTGTTAATTGACAAATTTATCTGGCATTCAATCAAATTGCAAGATTCATCTACCAATTATAGCCTAAAAATTGTTAATGTGTTTATGTGTCTGTACAGGGTGTGATTCATTGGGAAATAAGCATACAGTAAGCGTATAGGTGAAGACACCGAGGCGGGGCTTCTAAATGATCTATATATCATGGATCTAGCATTATTTTATATCCGATATACAGGGTGATTCATTAATTGTTCTCATTTTCTCAATTAATCATAACTTATGATGAACCACCCTATACATTTTCGTGATATTTTGTTCCTGTGTTCTTTTTCCACAGTGATGGTGACGATTGACATTATGAAAAAGTCTTATTTTATTTTCGACCTTTAAAGAATCAATGAGGAATTTACGAGACGACAGAAAACACTGTATTCCAAGATTTCAGAATGTTATTTTCAATTTTAGAAAGAGCAAGAGAAATAATAAGTGAGACTTAATGCATTTCGTGTTTCCGGATTGAACTTTCCCCTATGAACTTGAGTCAAATCTATCGGTTTCGATAATGAGGTGGCACGAAATTGAAGAAAAAAATGATTTGTTGCTCGCAAATGGTATTGTTCCATTTTCAATCCATGAAATCATCAACTATCTCTTATATTCCCCCAATTTTTGAATACCTACCTATTTGAAAATTGGGAGGAAATGTTCGTGTTTATTATTATCAATGACTTTGACTTTGACTATGACTTTGAACACCTTATAAGACAATTATCATAATATTCTTGAAATGAGCTAAGGAGCAATATTCCATATTTTTAGCCATCACTTAAATTACACCCTGTATAGATTGGACTCAAGTTAATAGGTGAAAAAGTTGTATGCGGAAACACGAAATACATTCAGTCTCACTTATTGTGCTCCCGCTCTTTCCAAATTTATTACATTACATTACATTTAGTAATATTAATGTATAGGGTGCTGTTTCGACCCGAAATCTCCTTCTTAGTTTTTCCAATTGGGAACATACGAACCAAATGTCACAAAAATGTATAAGGAACGCACGATGTTCTTCGAACATTATAGGGATTCCCTTTCGTGCGCTCCAAGCGACAAAAAAAAGACCCCTGAAATATAGATTATTCAGAAGCACCTCGGCGCCCTTATTGTAGGCGCATTTCCCAATGAATCAGCCTGTATATTCCATAATATTCACTCACATGAACACATCTAAGATTTTCAGGTTATAATTACAAGATAAATCTTGCAAGTAGCTCTAATGCCAGATAAATCTGTCAATTACCTTGAATGCATGATACATCTGTCAATTAGCTTGAATGCAAGGTGAATCTGTCATTTATAAGCCTCAATTGCAAAATAAATCTTGCAATGAGCATAAATACGAGATGAATCTGTCAATTGAGCAAATCGAAAAATACATCTTGCAATTAACTGGAGCCAAAAAATCTTGCAATAATTATATTCGAACGACTGAAAAAATGGTCTTTTCTTATTGCTTTGTCCGTTCAGGGACTCCGTAATAATCAAAGAGTAATTTCAAGGTATAAAAACATTCTTTTCACTCTATGTAAATTCGGAAAAAAATATATCATTGATGCAATTGACGACAGGAAAGACCTACTTCGCTAGGAAAATGAGTCACAGATTTTCTCCTTATGATGCCAAAGTCACAAAAAATTTAAATATATGAATATGAAATGAATGCTACTGATGAGTCAGATATTTATGAAATAAATTGTGATTACTGTACCATGAAATAATTGTGCAACCACGTCAATTTGTTCGTCCAAAATTCAAAGATCATATCCCGTTCCCAGTTTTAATACCACCTGTTCATATTGTTCTAGAGATTGCTAAGTTCCTCACCAATCAAGCAACATTATTCTGACAAATGAAGTACCTTTTAGATCCAACAGATGAAGAAAATACTCACGTGCAGTGCATACAAGGGCCTGAAGCGGACCTGATGTAGTCTCCCACCCTGTAGGCTCGCCCCTGGATGAGACATCCCGTCTTCCTAGCCCTACCCTTATAGGCGTGCGCCAAGAAGTGCGGCGGCAACGTCGTAGTCGTCGTAGTAGTCGTCGTAGTCATGTTGAGCGCCGTAGCCATTCCTACCGGGCACTCGTACCTAGGGCAGCAGAACCCTCTGATGGGCTCTTCGTGGCAATTGGGAATGGGCGGCGGGCAGCTTTGCTGCAAGCAGATGATGTCACTTCTGAAACAGAAGCAGAAATCGCACGGATCGTCACGCGGTATCTGCTGGGCGGAAACGAATACTTTTCCGCCATAGCGACAAGTTCCTGGACCCAGAGGACTGGCGTCGTCGTAGTCGTCCGTTGGCGATTGGTAATCTGGCAGTTCTGGCACATGATCTTCATGTTCGCCAGAGATTTCGTGACTAGACTCCGTGGCTACTGGTTCTGGTTGTGGAGGCGAGGTCAACGGCGAAGACGTAGAAAGCTCTCCGTCTACAGTCTTTTTAGTCGAAATTCCTTCAGGCGGGCCAGAAGTGTACAGTTCCGTAACATTTCTCGGTGCTTGGGTAGGCGAGGTGACTTCCTCCGTAGGTGGACTAGTCGTTTCTTCATGCTCAGGCTTCAATCGGTCGTCGAACTCAATAGGAATCTTCGTGGTTAAATTGTCCTTCGCTCCGGGACTGACTTGTTCAGGTGCTGTCGTCACTGCGCTAGGCTGCATTCCTTCTCCTGCTTGGGTGCTAGTTTCACCTTCGGTTGGAGCTGGAGCTTCTTGATCAACTGCGGGGTGTTTCTCAGTGGCAATTTCGGCTTCTTCTGGCTGGGGTTCGGTAACTTCAGGATGACTTGTTATGGATTCTGGAGTGATTTCTCCACCTGTTTGACCTTCTGAAGGAATAGAAACTTTGGTACTTATCTCAGATTCTGGAAGCTTCTCAGTCACAATTTCACTAGCAGGAAGGATTTCAGTGGTTTCTTTCTCAGGTGTGAGTTGGGCTTCTGTTGTCTTCTCTTTTACATCAATTTCAGTTATGCCATGTCCATGTTCGAGTTCAGGTTCAATGGGAATCTCGACACCTGCTTCAGTAGGTTGAGGCTCGGTGATAGGTGACACAGGTATCTCTCCAGGTCTTGGTACGCTCTTAGTAATTACTTCTGGAACAACTTCCGTTGCTACTTCAGGAGTTTGAGTAGATAATTCATGTTGGGGATGTTTTGTAATGAATTCTCCAATTGTACTAGGACTAGATTCCGGCATAACAGTAATATGCTCTTGTTCGTCTGATTCGGTTTGACTCTTATCAGTTACAGATTGTACTTCGGTCACTTCTTCCCCTATATGTTGTGTTTCTGTTATTGCCTCAGTAGATGGAATTTTTTCGGTAGCGACTTCTACGGGCCTAGTATGTCCTTGAGTTTGTTCCTCCTCTTTTTCAGACAACTCTGTGTTTGATTCTTCAGAGCTAGGCGAGGTTGATTCAGTGTGTTCCTTAGGACTTGTTTCACTACTTGGTGCTGTTCCGGGTTGACTTTCAGTTGTATCATGTTCAGTTCCTTCCGAAGCGCGTTCTTCAGTGGAAGATTCGTCAGTACCAGGTTGGCTCTCGGTACTGTAGTAACTTACTTCAGGAATCCTTGCTTCTGTAGTTACTTCGCTTTGTTCCGTCTGAGATTCATCACTTCCTTGAACTGGCACATGTTGCACAGGAGTTGTGTCTCCTTCAATCTCATGCTGAGGTTTAGATACTTCATCCCTGACAGTTGTAACTTCAGTTCCGACATCAACTGATTTAGGACTGGTTATCTCTGATGGATGTGTCGGGAAAGCCGGCTCAGGTACTTCAGATTCTGTTATTTTCTCTCCTGTAGCAGATGTTACTGAGGCTGGCTCAGTGACCGCTGGAGTAATTGTCTGATTTCCTGAATATTCTTCTGATGGAACAGTCGGTCCTACCTCTGGCTTCGAAGGTGCTTGTGAAGTATTATTCTCTGAAGGTTCTGGTTCTTCATGGCTTTCGTCAGTACTTGTTTCTTGTTTCACTGGTTCAGTAATGTGTTCTGCTGATTCAATTGTTCCACCAGTCATTTTTTCAGTGATAATTTCTACAGGTTCAACCGTAGTTGTCTCAGATATTTCTGGTGTTTTTTCTTCAGTTGGTTCCACATGTTCTTCTGGCAACTTCTCAACTGAAGAATCAGTATGTTCTAATGGTGTTTCGGGTCGGATAGTTTCTTGTTTTTCAGTAATTTCTGGCTGCACTGGTCTCTCAGTAATTATTTCTTCTGGTGTCTTTTCAGTACCATGCTCTGCAATTTTCGGAATTGATTCAGTGATGACCTCGGGCACAATTGTTGCTTTGTCTCCAGGTGTTGTGGAAATCTCGTCAACAGCACTCTCTGTTGTGTGTTCCTCAGCCCCTTGTTTTTCGCCAGATGTTTCTTTGCTTGGTTTTGTTTTATCTTCTGGATGTTCCTCATGTTCTGTGATGTTCATCATCGAGCTTTCTGTTTGTGCTCTCTCAGTTGGTTCCTGGTCTGATGTAATCGAAGGAGTCAGCTTTTCTGTTGTAGTGGTTTGTAACATTGACACTTCAGTTGCTGATATTTCAGTCGGTTGTGGTTTTGCTTGTTCTGTTGAACTTTCTTCTGTTGTATCAGCTCTTTCTGAGGAAATACTGCTCAGAGTAGTTTCTGAAACATCTATAGAACCTACTCCAGATTCAGTTCCTGCTGGTTCCTTCGATACAGTGACTGACGCTTGACTTGGTTCTGCGGTAACCTCTTTCTTATCTTCTTCAACAGATGATCCAGTAGTAGTTTCAGCAGATTCTTCGGGCTTTTGAGATACGATAGGTTTACAACCTTCTGATCCACAATGTTCTGAAGTTACCTGGGGCTCATCTGTACATCCTTCCGGTCCACAATGTTCAATAGGTCCTGGAGATTCCTCGACCGGCTGATGTGTGGTTGGTTGTTCATCTTCTTCGATACTAGAAGAAGTTGTTACCGGTTCTTCAGGTTCTTGTGGCGATACACATCCTTCTGATCCGCAAAGCTCTTTTTCCGGAGATTTTGTTGAGAGCTGATCAGGTTCAATCGGAGTGATTTCAGGTTTCACTGATGAAGGACGTGAACATCCTTCTGGTCCGCAAGATTCTTGTGTAATCTGGGGTTCTGTTGGAGTACAACCTTCGGAGTCACAGTGCTCTTCTGGGTATTCTTTGGGAGGCTGCTGTGTACCTTTTCCTAGATTCACTTCATTACCGGAAGATGCAGTAGTCGGTTCTTCGACAGAAACTGATACATGCGGCTCGATGTGTATCGGAATTTCACATCCTTCTTCCCCACAATGTTCTGGAGTAATGTGCGATTCTTCTATCGGCTCTTCAGGAATTCCATTTACCGATTCATCACGTTCTGGTACTCCTATATCATGTTCGGTTGCTCCAGATTTTTCTGCAGAACTAGTCGTTTGATTGATTACTGGTTCTTCTCTTTCTGGTGTCTTCTCGGTATCTTGATGAGGAATAGTTTTTTGGGTAGTTGGTTCTTCTCCTTGAACTGTAGGAATTGCTTCGGGAACATCTTTTTTGGGTACTGTTGTTTCTTCACGATCTTGTTGTGTAGTTGCTTCAACCGAAGGAACGTAAGTTACTGGAGACTCTTTTTCCACACCCGCTGTTGTAGTTTCGACTACATGGCTATCTGACTCCATAGCATTCGTGACTCCTGGACCAGCTGTAATTAAATAAATCAAGTAAACGATTACATAATAAATGTTGATGAAACAAAGTCAACTTACAGCAAGTGTAGGTAGGGCAGCAGCTCCCAGGTGACTGGAATATTGGCGTACATTCTTGCATATTGCTAGGTGGTCCTGGGCAAGGTATCGATTCACATTGCAAGATAGAACTCACACATTTACATGAAAGTTGACATTGATTGATTGGAGGCACTTGTGAGTTGTTCGTGTATGTTTGACCGTCTACTAAACAATTTCCTTCGCCTGGAATGCCACGTTCCACTTCTTCTGTTGTCGGTACCTCGGATTCTGGTAGCATGCTTGGAGAAGGAACATGTTCTGGAGTTTGTGTTGTTTCAGGAGTGTGGCTTGCTGCTGTGATAGAAGGAATTTCAGGAGCCTCCGAAGCTTCAGTTTCCGTGGTAATTACTTCAGGTGTCTTGACAGCTGATGGTTCTGTACTCTCAGGTATTTTATCTCCTTCAGATTGTCTAGATGGAGTTGTGATTTCTTCAGTTGACGGTTTTATTGTTATTTCTTGTTCAGCTTTAGCAACTTCATCTGTAGTTTCATCTGGAGGGTGCGTCTCAGCTACATGATGTTCTGTAGATGAATCTGAAGAAATTGGTGCAGTAGTAACTTCCATTTCTTGAGGATGTGTTACTGGAGTTTCAGTCTGATTAAATTGTTTTTCTAGAAGTTCGCTTTCGGTATGTTGAGCTTCAGTTGTTTCTGGTTGTGGTGAAGAAGCATGTTCTGGATAGTGAGTTATTTCAGGCTCACCACTGCCTTCTACTTCTTCGGAAGTGTCAGTTTCTGGTCTTGCTTCTGGAAGTTCAGTTGGTTGGGGCTCACCACTACTCTCTACTTCCTCAGGAACAACATTTTCTGGTGTACTCTTTGGATGTTCAGTTGATTCACCACTACCTTCACTTGAAGTTGTATGTTCTTCATGTTCTTGTCCACTTCCTTGAGATTCTGTAGATTCAGGGCTACTCTCTACTTCTTGTGAAGGAACAAGTCCTGGTTTATCTTCCGGTAGTTCAGTAGATTCGACCTCACCACTACCTTCACTTGGGAATACATGTTCTGGTCTACTTTCTGGAGATTCAGTGGATATGGGCTCACTACTACTCTCTGATTCAAGTGAAGTAACTTGTTCGGGTATCTGCTCTGGGAGTGCAGTAGATTCTGCCTCACTGCTACCCTCACTTGGAGTTACATGTTCTGGTTTACTTACTGGGGATTCTGTAGATTCAGGCTCACCACCACTTCCTACTTCTTGAGAAGTGACGTGTTCTGGTCTCTGTTCTGGGTATTCAGTAGTTTCAGGCTCACTACTACTTTCTCCTTCTGGAGTGACATGTTCTACCCCAGGATGTTCAGTTTTGTTTCCTTCAACTGGTTCAACGTGTGCTGGTGTGATTTCTGGGATTTCAGTACCGAGTTCTTCTTCACCTTGTTCACTCGGTTCGGTTGATTCGGGTGTACCAATAGCTTCACCTGGAGTAACTTGTTCTGATGGCAGTTCATATGATGTAGGTTCACCAGTACTTTCCTCTGGAGTAACATGTTTTGATGGCGGTTCAGATGATATAGGTTGCCCAGTAGTTTCACCTGCAAGATGATGTTCTGGAGTCTCGGTAGTAGCAGATTCCTTGGTTACTCCATCAGTAGGTTCATGTTCTGGTTTTACTGAATGTTCGGTAGATGCAGGAGATTCGGTATCCTTGAATACTGTGTTAGGTAATTGTGTTGAAGAAGTCTCTGGCTCATCATGAGATTCTTTCTTCGGAGCCTCTGTGAATTGTTCATCAATTTCTTCGGTAACCTGTTCTCCTCCAGATGATGGACTAGAAGGTACTTCTGGTTCAGACACAGGCATCTTTTCGGTTGTCTGAACTGATTCAGGCACTGATGATAATATAACTTCTGGAACACCAGTTTGCTCAGAATCATGTTTTACGTCTATTGTTGTCTCGGTTGATCCAGGTAAGTTTTCTTCCTCTGGTAGGCAATCCTCTTCATCTATACAATCATGCGCAACACCTTTTGGTATGTCATTCGATTCTGTAGTCTCTTCCTCAGGCTGAACTTCTTTGTGTGTTTCATCAGGAACTTTACCCTCTTGGGTGCATCCTTCCTTTGTACATTGTTCCGGTACAACAGGAGTGTGTTCCAGTTTGGTACATCCTTCTTTCGTGCACTCTTCAACAATCGCGGGTATTTCATTGTCGTCAGTCTCTTTAGTTGGTTTTTCCGGTGACTGTTGAGCTATTTTGGGGCCTTCAGTTACTTCAAATGGTTTTTCTTCCTTTTCAATTTCAGGAATTTCAGTTTCAGTTGTGGTTTCCGAAACGTGATCCATTGATTGTGGTCTCTCAGTTTCTCTGTTAGTTATTCCGGTCACAATCTCCATTTCTTCTCCTGGTTTTTCTGTTGAGGCTGGCTCTGTAACATCTGCAATTTGAGAGCTCTGTTCAATTCCTTTCTCAAATGATTCGGTGATTTCTTCAGGTTGATCTTTGTTGGGCTTACCATCCGTGACTCCTGGTTGGAGTTCGCCTTCTTCCACTATTTCAGGTTCTTCTGTGATTGGACTGCTCACCTTTTCTTCACCCTTTTGGCTTGTTTCCGTTTCTTCAGGATGTGCCGATTCTACTGGCGATGTAGTTGTGGAAATCTCTCCAGGTTCATGTTCATTTTCTTGTTCAGTTGTCTCTAAGCTTCCAGGTCCTTCAGTGATTTGTTCTTGGCCTTGACTTGGCTGCACCGTTTCTTGTGAAACTTCAGATGTTTCGCTAGTAGCATGTTCGCTTACTGTTACCTCAGGTACTGCTGTTACTTCTACGGGTGTTTTTGGTTTCTCTTGACTGGGTTCTGTTGCTCCGCTAGCTTCTTCTTCATTGGGAACTGGTGATCCTTCACTGGGTTCTGATGTTATTTGTGTTACTTCCTGTTCTGCTCCTGACTGTTCGGTAGTTGGTATAACAGTATCTGGTAATACTTCTGGTTTCAGACTTGACGAGACAGGTCCTTCAGTAGAAACTTCAGGCTGCCCTAGTTCAGTGCCTGATACCTGAGTTACAGCCTCTTGTGTAGCTGTTGGTTCGCTTTCCTCCACATTCGTTTCAGAAGGTTTAGTTTCTTCCACTGATGCCTTCGTAACAGCTTCATGCTCAGGCGCCTTTGTTTGTTCTACTTCAGTTTCAGTAGTTGTCGTTTCCAATGGTTTCGTTGTTTCATGGTGTTGCTCGATTTCATTATCTGCTGGTTTGGTATGTGCTCGGTCTGGTTCTTGGGCACCTATTGTTGTAGCTCCTGGTTTCTCGTCACTGTCATGGATTTCGTTGTCTTCTGTTTCTTCGTGATCATCATGAATGATTGGTTCGCCTTCCTCTTCCAAAGTTGCAGTTGTGGTCGGTTCATCGTGTTTGGATGGGCCAACAGTCTGTGGCACAGTATGGAGAGAGAGTGGAGTTTGGGTCTCTGTGTCTTTGCTGCTTTCCGTAATAACTTCTCCTGGTATGACAGTTTCTTGTTCTTGCTGTTCTGATGTCACCAGTGGTTTTTCTGTTGAGCCATAGATCGTAGATGTGATTGCATCGACAATATCAGTTACAGCTTCTGTTATTCTCGATGTGATTGCTTCGGTAACACTTTCAGTGGTTGGTTTGCCTTTCTCCTCGATGGTTTCTTCTGTTACGACTTCACCTCTGTCTGTTAGGTTCAAGTGTGGAAGGGGAGTTTCTGTGGCCTGTACTGTCTCGTCCTCTTCCTCGGATGGCGATGAGATTAAGGTTGGGAGGGTGGTGGGTGCTTCATAATACGACAGGGTAGTCAAATCTTCGTCCGATATATCCCCACAATCGTAAGTTTCCGGACAGCATTGACCTGGCTTGATGGGCAGAGCAGTGCAGTTTACCTTGTCCAATGGTGTTGGCCCACATTCTTGTACAGCACAGATCATCTCACCCTTCATGCAATAGCATTTTTCGCATGGCAAGTCTTTCTTCACCAGGGCACCGTCTGCATAATATTCGTTCTTGAAGAAACAGTCTTTTGGTGGTAAAGTAGTTGGCGCGAGTGTCGTGGTTGTCGTAGTTGTTGTGGTGGTGGTGGTGAGAAGAGGTCTAGGAGTGGTTTCAATTTGCGGATGATCTGTAACAAGAACCAATCGTTCAACTTCGTCAAGTAAAGACGTTTTTTTTCCTACTCATTTTTGTTTCAGGTATATGCTAGTATAATTCAAGTAAATTAAAAGTCGCGAAGTAGGGTTCGAGGACCAATTCATATCTACTTGAGGAACTAGTTAGTGCAGTGCCCATGAACTTATATTGAATACACTGGGTAATCAATAGATTTTGAAGTATTCAGTTTCAGAGAAACTGAGAAGGTACATTTATTCGGGGTGGTCAGCGTTAGCAAGAGTTATCTGCCATTCTATATCAAGGTAACACTAGTGCTGGAGTTGAGAGGCAATAGAAAAAACAAACCGAATCAAAGGAGACCCATCATGGATCCTAGGTGAGAAGAGGATATTCAAGAAGAATATAGCAGCTGAACTTGCTATGAACTCCAAGACACTATTCTGAGAATTAGAATATAGACCATCAGGTAGTGTGAGAAATACACTCTATTTGGAGTTAATGTGGATGTAAAGGGATTGCGTCGCCTGTCAGGTACTGATCCTCCTCATAGAAGTATTTACTAGGGGTGTCTCAGTTTCTCTAATTAACAATGATCATTTTCTCATCTGAAGTCAAGCAGCTACAAGCTCTGCTATCGCTACTTGAATGATTCGTTCCCCAAGAAAAACTGAATCAAGCTTGTTCAACTGCAGTGGGGCAATCAGAGCTACTAGCCTGATGGAAGACCAAGTCCGATTGATGAGGCTCGAATCTGGAACTGCATTGCATCTTTGGAGGATCTTGATCTTAACAGTAGACTCTCACTTCGCTATGGCTTCCTGACTTCAAAGGGGTGAACATCGAAACCGATATTCTCTCCGAAATGGGAACTGATTCCAGACCCTCACTTTGTAGTTACATCTGCTGTCGGAACAATTCATTTATCGGCGAGGTGTAAGTTAACGTCCTCGCAGGGACAACATATTGAAACTACCGACTAGGACGTCCGTAGAACGTTATTTCTAAGACATTGGAAGAGTACAGTTCATGTACCAATTGGGACATCCGACGGAGGGACATTTCGATTGTTATAAGATCCTGGAAATATTAAGGGCGTCTATGCAGAGATATTTGAAGAAATGTACCATCAGAGACATTTCATGGTTGTCTAGAAGGGACATAATATAAGATCTGAAGTCATGCCAGAATATGTACTACTCGGAACATGCGATGGATGTCCCTGAAGGAACGTTTAAAATCATATGTCATCAGGGACATGCCAAGGACGCCCTGCATGGACATTCTACAATATGTACCACGTGGGACGTCTAAGGGATGCTATTTCTAGGACATTTGAAATGATGTACCTACTGGGATATTCCGTGCACGTCCTTGTTTGGACATTGCATGAGATGTACGGGATGGGACGTCCCATGGACACTTATTTTTGGTCCGGGACATTCGAACTTGAATTGTACCAAATAGGGACGTCCCTAGGACGTTGTGTGCTATTAGGGATTGAATCGGTCTCTATCTAGTAGTCGGTCTCTATCTAGTAGTCGGATATTCCGTTTATCAGACTTACCGCAGTCGTATCGCAGAGGGCAGCACACTCCTTCCAGATACACCGGCCGGCAGCCCTCGACCACTTTGCCCGTCAGGGTGCACTCTTGGATGATGCAGGCCGTCTTGTTCCTGATACAGTAGCACACCTCGCAGGGGTTGTTTGGATCGGAGGGCACCTTTGCTCCGTCGGCGTAAAAGAGGTTGTCGATGGAGCAGCCGTACTCGTTGAGGTGGCCCAGTGCCGTGCCAGATTCTGTGGTCGATTGGGGGACCAGTTGAACGGGGACTGGAAATATAAATAATTAACATCAGTCGATCACCATAGGTTCATTCGGGTTCCGATTTCAGAACTGTTCAAGAATCGTTCTCGAACTGTTTCAGAACGGTTCACAAATTATGAAAACTCGAACGCGGTGGAAGAGAACCTCTGAGAACATAACCTCTAATACTCTATTCAGAATTTGCGAAAAAACAATAGTTTGGAACCTGTATCTCTATTCGAATAATATTCTGAAGCTTCAAACTCTTCTTTGAGTCTATTCACAATATCTCTGGAAACCCTCTGTGGGGAAATGGTGAATATATTCCATCATAGCATTCGTAGCTAGATTTTCAATATGTTTTCCCCCTTGTGACTACATGAATCTCAACACCTACCTGAAATGTTCAATGAATTGTGTATCTAAATATAATGGCAAAGTCTCCCCCACATAATCCTCCATTTTTCGGTTTGTCTAACAAAAGTTCGAGAATTCTAAGATTAGGAACAATCTTTTCAGCAACTTCAGCAAGTACCTCCTTCACCACTGCTTCCTGAAGATGAAGAACTACTACTATCAAATGAATGTACTAACTCCATAATATAGAGAAAATATTGAAAAGAGCAATGATCAGTAGAATGAATAAAAATATATCATTATGACATTACGCTACAACAGACCGAATCGAAATAGTTATTTATTATACAAGGGAAAAAAGTAGTAGATTTTAGCTCCAGGTTGTGTTGTCTCCCGACGCGTAGCGGAGGGAGACAAAAAACCGTGAGCTAAAATCTAATATTTTTCCCGTGTGTAATACACTATTTTTTTCTGTGACAGAAGGAAGGACGAATCAATATTGAGAAGATATTACATTATTTCGAAATCTGAAAATTATCGACGTGAAATTTCAAGTTTTTAACAGTAGGGACACCTGCGTTTTATAGGCATCTTTATCATTCTTTTGAAGTAATCAAATATCTGATGTCACTTCTGACAGTTCAATTTTGTGATTTGATTTCAAAAAATTGAGAATTCAGTAGTTGTTTAGGAATATACGAAACCGCGAAGTGGAATGGAAGATAAAAGGACTTGCAGTTCTTTCTCGGAGACGGTATTATTGACTCATTATTCGGAACTATAGCACAACAAAAGCCATTAACAGAGTATATATATGTGATATATATCCGGGAAAAAAGTACTCACTTTTTTCCCACGGGAAAAAAGTAATTTATGAAAAGTGACATTTTATAACCTGTCAACAGAGATGAAATGCCAAACTTTTTTCCTGTCACAGAAAAAACTAAATGAAATGAGCTTGAGCCAAACTTCCCCAACAAATTGACGCACTACCAAAAAGTATCTTGAAGTTTGAGATACATTTTCGTCGAAATTAATTGTCCGATTCGGACGATTTTTGTTTTGAATGATAGGCTTCCATTCATGCAATAAGTTTTAAGGTTCAGAATTTGAGATATATGTAATAAAAATAAAAACAGAATTGAAATATGAAAGCTGCAATTCCACCGAAAATGTTGTTTGAGAGGCGTGACCACAAACGATTATTCGATTATTATGTCGGTATAATCGAATGTTATTTATAATCATGAAAATATGCATTGTTTTCATACTCCTTCAACAACACCTCAATCAACGATAGGAATATATATCCGTGTTAAAAATAATTGCTGTGATCGGTTGAGTTTCTGAATTTTGAATCATATATGTACAGTATGATGCAAATGTATGGAATAAATTCATCTCAAAACAAGACGACTTCCGAAAAAAATCCAAAAACTAGACTTCAGAACTTTATTAATTGATTTATTTTCTCAAATAGACGACCCTTCGTTGTTCAATTCTCAGTAGCAGACCTCTGCAAGATTCAGTTAATCGAATGATAATCCATTTTAATCTCAATTTTCTTATGCAAAATTTTGACTGTTGAATAGACGATCAGTAGACCTTTCAAACGAGGTGTCACATGACCCCTGTTTTCATTTGAAAAAATCGTTCATTACGTCATTACTCCAACACCGGTGACGTCACATCTCTCATATGGATATCATGAGATGAGGCTTCAAAAATGAAACCTCACGTGTTTTTTGGAATTTTTTAAAATGTCGCCCGTTTCTGCAATAATGAATTTATTCCATACATTTGCATCATACTGTATATAAAAACCATCAGGTCTGTATTTCAAAACATGAAACTCATTGCCTAATTAATAAATTGGTGTTCTGTCGTTCGCCACAAGGACCTGTATGTTCATTTTATGATACTTATATCTTGAATTATAAAATTTAACACTAATAACATAAAACTTCAATTGTATCGCAGCTTTGATACGTAAAAGAATATGTTAACTGATTGAGTTCAGTTTTAGTGAAATATTTTTGTTGATTTGGAGAGAAAGAATATCATCCATTACGTGACAGAACGACGTCATCAATTTCCCCTCTTTCACCTGATAGTCATTATAAAAGTTAACTTATCAATGACATTTTTTTGACGGCTGTCGAAATTATAAACAATATATTTTTTTATTAACGGAACCATAGATGTGTATTATCTCTGACCGAACTATACTGATAAAGCACGGTTCAACTACAATAATTAATGGCGAATGCATAAAATGCGCATTCGCCATATTTTGAATTACTTTTATTTTAAAAGTAAAATCTTTGACTAACAAGATTTTCAATGTCTCAATTTGTCATTATAAAAGTTGACTTATCAATTAAATTTTTTTGACGGCTGTCGAAATTATAAACGATATATTTTTTTTATTAACGGCACCATAGATGTGTATTATCTCTGACCGACCTATACTGATATAGCACTGTTCAACTACAATCATTAATGGCGAATGCATAAAATGCGCATTCGCCATATTTTGAATTACTTTCATTTTAAAAGTAAAATCTTTGACTTTAACAAGATTTTCAATGTCTTAATTTGTCATTATAAAAGTTGACTTATCAATTGAATTTTTTTGACGGCTTTCGAAATTATAAACAATATATTTTTTCATTAACGGAACCATAGATGTGTATTATCTCTGACCGAACTATACTGATAAAGCACGGTTCAACTACAATAATTAATGGCGAATGCATAAAATGCGCATTCGCCATATTTTGAAATACATTCATTTTAAAAGTAAAATCTATGACAAACAAGATTTTCAATGTCTTAATTTGTGATAATTATTTTTGAATATTGTGAAAAACTATGTAATAACCGTCTTACGTCTTTTACAAGAATTTTAAATGTTCCGTGACACTGTTATGTCCAAAAATGTTACATCGACTTTCAAACTTTCTCACCACCATAGTAATCATCCTCAAATAGTGTAAGTACAATTTGAACATTCCTTATTAATATTATTTTCATTGAATATTGTGGTAAGTCAATCCTATTGTAGTCTCCCTGAAGATGGAAATATACATTTCCGGAAGCTCGGATAAACTGTAATGAGTTCACCTTTACTTTGCATATTTTCAAAATACCTTCTGGGCAAGTGATGACAGGGCAGCACTGGTCTGGTTTCTTCTCCACTTTGCAGTTCTGGCCGATCGCTTTGGTGAAGGGGCACACCCGTAGATAGCACATGAGCATCCTATTATGGCAAGTGCAATTCAGGCAAGGCTCGTTCGTGATTATCCTGTCACCTTCGTCGTAATGCTCGAAGTTGTAGTAACAACCAGTTGCGTCTGCAACTGAAAAGAAAATTTGTGTTTGAGTGCTCCGGCTTCCTCCCCTTCGTTTCTCACGATGAGAATAAGAAACAGGAACAGAAAAAAAACGGGAAACTGCTGATTCCTAAACATCAATTATTTATGCACCAATATTCATACCCAGCGGAGACTTAGAAACTCCGGTGGTACACTGGGAAAAATTGTGTTATCATATATGTATTGCTGAAATATTTCTTGCTTCCAGCACAAGAAATCCTATTACCGTAGCACATTTTCGAATAGATGCAGCCCATTGAAATCCTATGATTGTAATAACGACTTCGATTTTTTAATAATTGTTTAGCTGAATTACTACTAGTGAGTTATATCCCTGTGGCTGCAAGGATCATCGCATAAGACTGCATACTTACTACCAATAATAGAAAGAAAATAATAGTTTTCTCCAAATGACATCAAAAGTGGATTTTTTTTAACACTCCACAGGCAGAAAAGGTATACATTTACTGCCTAGGCAGAAAAAGTTTGTTGCTATGCAACGTTCCAAGTAATTTGAATCAAATTGGTAATCAAAATCGACAATGACTTTGGGTGAACAAAAAATGATGGATTATTTGCGTGAAATTGAAAAAGATCTGGAGAAAAAATTATATGTTTCACATGGGAGAAAAGAAGATGGAATGCCTTGACTGGTGCCTAGCCTTGGCTACGCCTATAGGCTATGAAACGCCAGCCGCGGCATTAAATCTTGTACTTTTCTACCTAGTAAAACAAATAACTATTGACAACCCTACTTGGGGTTATTCAGCGCCTACTTATCGTTATTCGATATTTTGCTGATTTTTTCCCCTTTATGATATTTTTTCAGACATCTCGCGTCGCAAAGAAATGTTCAATCAGGACGACAATCTCGACGACACGACAGTTATGAATACTTTCTCCCTTCAATCCAATTCATTATATAAAATCTGAATCTGAATCCAAATATAGAATGAAAACATTTTTAAACAAATGAAAAAGTCTTCAGTGTCCCTTTCAGTGCTTTCGTAGATCTGAGTGCTCTAGTTTTTACCAGTATTGATGGAATGATGAAGGTGAGTTAATTCAAAGTATTTTGACTGACATGTTGATATTTTACATTCAACATTTCCTCCATTTTGGTGAATAAATGGATCTATCATTGCATAAGTCCGAAATTTTCATTAGGAATCAATGAAATGCTATTCATTCCAATCACCAGGGTGGAAATTATAGAAAGTGGAATTGAATTTTGATCAAAATTTCACCTCTTTCTAGGATGACAATCCTGAAAAATAACTGAATAACTATAAAGAAAGAAGTACATGCAACTATCTATATGATCACTCACCAAGATTAGCAAAGTTTTCTACCTATGATTATGAAATTGCACTACTCCTATTATTAGATGCACTCACTACCGGTAGCAAAGTCATATACCTGCTACAGAAACATCGCTGATGGCAGCAAGGTTTCATATCTAGTAATCGCAGGTGGGTTATAATCAGTAAAGTCGACTTTATGATCACAGGTGATAACTCGCTTGTCCCCTATGCTATTACAGAGTTTCTTGCTGGGATAATTTTTTCTATATTTCTTTATTGTTTTTCCACCACTAGCTATAGAACCTACCATGATTTAGTCCTTTCCAAGGCGTAAAGTGTGGTTTTACTACCAAGGTAGTTTTCGTCATTTTACTAACCACTAGCCAATGGAGAATAAGCCACCTCTGTTATAATGAACCTAAATGCACTGTTCTGATGCGAGAGTCGCAGGAATGGCACTTGAATCTATATAGGTATTTATTGATGATGACTGGCTACTGAGATTTTAATTACAACTGAAAACAAGTGATTTCATTGTGAAACAGGTCCATTTTCCTAGTTCACAGAACTAGAATGATATTTAATGCTAGTGGTGAAAACAATATATGTACACCTTGGTAGTAAATGATATATTAGATGGTATTGAAGTTAATCGACTTGGCATCAGATTTGAAAAAAACACTTGTATGTTCCAGATAGTCCCAATCGACGGTACTATCATAATCAATAAAAAACATTGCTGATAATGGAAACAGTGTAAACATAGCCTAGCTATAGTTATTCAACCAACTAGTGTATTAACGGAGATTTGTCATTCTAGACTCAAGATGAATGATGGCGAGGATGGCAAAAACGTGAGTTGTGAGAAATCATTTTTCTTACCTGGGTAGTATTCAATTTCTGTGCTCTGTTCATTGTCGAATGGCGCTGCAATAAAGAGAAACATGTTATTATTTGCTATAAAATCCACTTATATGCTCAAGTTTATAACACTTTCAATTTATCAGGTATACAAGAAAACATCACTCGAATTTACGATTTGAAAGGATTACAGTAAGCCATAGCTGACAATAATAGCACCAGATTATGTACTCTGTCAGCATTGCATAGAATCAGATCTCTAGAATAGTCATTTTCCAAGTTGTCCTATAGAAGTGTTCTGGAATACACTAATTTTCTTCCACAAGTGAGTTTATGCTATAGGTATCTATCGTTTCATCAATATTATTAACATTATTATTATAAGTAGAATAATATTTTTATACGTAACCTCAAAATTCTCTGTGTAAGAATACCCTTCTCAATTTTCATTGGGAATGCACTGAAAATACGTCAGTCAGCCATCACTGGGCCAACAATGAACAAGCAATGAAGGAAGTACTGCTTCGCCAATATTGGCGTTTAGTCGGCCAGTAGCAACTCTGAGGATTTTCCATTGAAAAATGCCAATATTGAGCCAATGATAGTCACTGGAGGGACATTGCTCTAAAAGTGATGGCCCTTGTATTAATGTTTGCTGGGAAGGTTTATTTTATAGTATGCCATGGATCATTGACGGGATTTGAACGAAAGTCAATTTGACACTTCTGTCATCATGAATTAATTGATTTGTAACTGCATTCGAATGTTTTGATTAAAAATACGTTCAGGATATGAAGAAGGGTATGATATCATTGGAATTCAATAAGGATATTATTCAAATCATGGAAATCATCCATATTTCTCAAAGTGGTCCAATTGATTTTTATAAGAAAAAACAATGAAAGTCCCAAAGTCTGTCGACCACGAAAAAATCTTTAATAAGTAGTGTAACTAGTTTCGACCACCAGGCCCTCATCAGACACAAAAATTGATGTAATAAAGTACCTAAAAGATATTAAGAACATGGTTAAGGAGTCGAGAAGAGAGTCAACTTTTTTACTCCTCATCAGTAACCATGATGTCCACTTATTCTTACAGCCATTCTTCATGATATACACAATTTTATTTCATTTGGTAGTTGGGATTCGCTGAGGGTTGTTGTTCAATAAAAGGGCTACAGATTGAACAGAAAAACAAATATGGATTTATTAATGATAAAATACAACTCTGACATCCCTCGAAGAGGCATCAGGCTGACGACTGAATATATTATAAAAATGGTACTTACAATCATCTAACAAAACTCAGGGATGTCCCAATTGGGACATCCCCGTTGTCACAAGTATCCGTCCGCTATTCGGACCAAAAGTCAAGTACCCCTTTGTACGTGGATTATGATCGATCATCTCTCTTTCATTGAAAAATGTTTTGTCACGAACGATGACAGTTGAATTGCCGAGAAATAAATACAATAAACTCGATAAATTAGAACAGTGAAATAATGATGATAGTAGTAGTGATATTTGAGAATAATTTGGAAAATATCATTTCGTGACAATGTTTCATTCGATACTTATTCCATAATCCATAATCCTCGACTCTACCGAATTCAGTGCAAAAATATGGATTCGGCAGCACTGTCCGGGAGTGGTCTTGGATGTGAAATTCCATCTCTAATGTACCTGATGGCTGATACCATGCATAATTCACGTAATTACAAGTTCGCGTAGCGCAACAAATCTCGGCACTTAGACTTTTTCGTTTTCTTCTGCTCGTCTAGCAGCTTTTTTCCCTTTTCTCGTATAAATCGTTTTATGTTTGGCGCAATCTTTGATAAAGAGAATAAAATTTTTTATAGTAATGAAAATGTTTTATGTGCGTTGAATATCGGCATAACTATTTGAATGTTTTAAGACGTCTCGTTGACAACATAATATACACCAAGGAAAAAAACTCTGTCGTGATGCCGTAGAGATGATACGGTTTTGCATTTTCAATTATCACAACATACCTAGCGTCTTTGAAATTCCACGAAATGTCTTTATTACGTAAATTATTCCCGGCTTTCAACCATATTGTTTCATTCCATAAGAACCCATATTCAATCCGTAGAGGGATATATTTTTCGCTCAGTGAGAGTTTGAGCAGGTTTAAGGAAGTTATATTATTTCGAAATTATGAAATCCATATGTGACGCGAAAATTCAAGATGAATATAGTTTGAATCAATAGGTTAGGTTCCATGTGAGTGGGGCGAACACCTCCCCTCCACTGCGACCCCAGATGGGTCTATTGTGGCTCACCCCTAGAGGTTACAGTTCACCGTACAATCCACATCTTTTTACAAAGTTCATGGTTGAATTGGGTGAGATTTGTCTGAAATCGATAGGTTCTAGGTTGGTAAAGCCAAATGTGTCGAACCTTAGTCTTTCTAAGCTAGAGCATGAGCATAATATGTGTTCAGCCGTTTCGTCTTCCACACAACAGAACCGACAGTCCGTTTGTTGGTTCAGACCCATCCTTCCCAGGTGGTATCTTAGACGACAGTGTCCCGTAAGCAGTCCAGTCAGAATTCGCAGGTTACCCCTGCTCCATTCTAGGATCTGCCTGGTTATTTTTTCCGATGGTTTAGGCAGGAACGCCTTCGAATGGGTTAATCCTGGTAATTCGGACCAGTACGTGAGTGTTTTTCCCTCCGCCCAGCCCGAGATAGTTGTTTTCGCCGCACTTGCGGTGACCCCAAAATATGGTTCTGGTCCTATGAACACAGATTCGGTTCCCTGTTTGGCGAGGATGTCGGCTTTCTCGTTACCCTCCACCCCCTGGTGTCCAGGCACCCACAGCAAAGTGACTCTGTTGTTAGCACCCAGGCTTTCTAGGGATTCAATGCAGCTCCATACAAGCTTGGAATTTATCTTGCTGGAGCTCAGTGCTTTAAGAGCAGCCTGACTGTCTGATACAATACTGATATTTTTGTTTACTAGAGGTTTATTCGACAGCTCTCTAGCACACAATTCAATTGCGAATACCTCCGCCTGAAAGATTGTAGCATATTTGCCGAGATTGACGGAAATTTCCGTCTTCGGTTTTCTGCTGAACACACCGGCTCCCACTCCACGAGGGGTTTTCGAACCATCTGTGTACATTACGTGTTCGGTCTCTGGGAATCGGACTGATCCGCTTGCCCATTCGTCTCTCTTCGGGAAGAGGACTTTGAAAGACTTTTTCACGTGTGTCTGAGTGGCCAACATGTCGGAAACCATTCCTAGAGTTTGGTGATTTTTTGTTTCACACAGTATCCCGGAGTGGTCCAGCAGTCGCCCCCCTCTGATTTGATTTTCCAATGACAGGAATCTGTAGGAAACCATCCTGGCTTCCCTCTCCAAGACAATGTGGAGGGGAGTGAGGTTCAGGAGGTTTTCCATCGCTGCCGTTGGAGTAGAGGACATCGCCCCTGTAATGGCCAGGCACGCCAGCCGCTGGAGACCAGCAAGCTTTGCCCTGGCTGTTCCCTGCAGACCTTTGGTCCACCAGACTACCGAGCCATACGTGACCATTGGTTTTACCATTGTTTGGTAAATCCAGTAAATCTGTTTGGGGTTCATTCCCCATGATTTGCCGCATACCCTTCTGAGGTTCCAGAGGGAAAATCTGGCTTTGTTAATAGTTTTTGCCATATGGGCGTTCCAGGTGAGTCTTTTATCTAGGGTGACCCCTAGATATTTCACCTCCGTCGCAAACGGAATGCTCTCTCCATATAGGACAGGCTGACGAAGCTCATCTAGCTTTTGCCTTTTGGTAAAAGGGATAATTACAGTTTTCCGGGGGTTCACAGACATCTGCTCCCTCTCGCACCACCTGTACACAGTATTGAGGGCTTCTTGTAGGCCGTTTGAGATCGTCGCTTCAAATTTCCCTCTTACTATTAGGACGAGATCATCTGCATAGCATTGGAAATCCACCCCCTGCATGGAGAGATCGCTCAGCAGAGAGTCAACCAAAAATTGAATCAATAAGGCAGAACATATTCTCATTGTCCAACTATAGATGGCCTAACATAAGTATTATTCCTGATCGAATTCAACATGAATGTGTACGTACCTATAAGATCAACGGAGGAGTAATAGTATATTATGTAACAAGTGTTATATACGTCCTTTTAGTAACGAGTATTTTAAGCACGAGCGGAGCAGAGCGGAACTGTGTTGCCATGGTAATGTGTTTAAGAAATCGTGTTGCCATGGTGACGTGTTTAATATTTTGAATAAATCACAGATCGTCCATCCGTGATTAATCGATCATTTAGCGTGGTACATATCCGTACGCTAAATGCCATTTTAGTTATGTGAGTAGAAAAACATATTTACACACATCTTCAAGAACTAGTGTTGATATATGGAATGTTAATATGTATATTTCTGACTTCGTTGAATATGGTATATTGAAAAGAACACTTTTTTTGATAGTTATTCTAATTTTATTCCTTTATGCAGGGTGTTTTCGAAATTGAACCAATAAATAAAATAGATTGAGAAAACGAAAACAACAGAATAAGTTTTAGTCGAAAAAGAATAATAATGGGAGATTTTAAGATTTTTGATCTTGTAGCAACTTTTGAGAATCACTCCCCATCAGAAGTTAACGGTCGAACACGAATGGGGTACACACGTTTACGTTGAAAATGTCAGTTTTGCAAGTATTTTACCTATAACAAGCCCTAACTACCCTTTCAGAAACAGGTAGTGAATCTCGATATTTTCGAACATTGTAAACCTGAGGAAGTATTTCCAACAACATACCTACCTCCTGTCCCTATCCTCCCTAGGAACGCACGATGTTCTATGAACATTACAGGGATTTCCTCTCGTGCGCTCCAAGCGATAAAAAAAACAATCATTGCAATGTTGATGCTCTGTGAAACAGACGTTTTTCTACGAGACACACAATATAACAATACAGTTTTTTTTTCGCTTCCATCCTCGAATGCTTTTTGCTCCTAATGTTTGAGACTTTAAAAACATGTTAGTGGCATTTGTGCATTGTGCATTGCGCATTGATTCTAGTACCAGTGCGAAAGTACACAGCG